CTTTTTATACTTGAATTTTTTGTTGTTGTTCTGTGAAGCTCCTCGTGATTTTTATCTTGAGAGGCACTTTATAAAAGGTCGTCTTCTTCTTCTTCTTCTTCAGTCTAAATGAGCATGTTCGCTAAATTTCGTTTAAAACTTCCCCGTTTAAGTTTAAGTTTCATTTTTAGTCGTGCTTTTATGTATTCAGATTTGCTCTAAATCTAAAATGTTTGACCTTGTGTTTAGAACAGAACAGAACAGAACAGAACAGAATAGAATAGAATAGAATAGGATAGAATAAAATAGATCCAATAGTGGGGACATTCACAAATACTAAGAGAACAATTAGAAGACAAATGACAACAAGGGTAAACTTAAACCACTAAAAATGAAACTTGAGTTTCAGAACTATGCAGCATGAGGTACAAAGACATACTGTGTAAATCTGCTATTGCACAACTATTGAACTCATACTGAATATTGCATTGATGTTATGGTGTACCAGAATAATGCCAGTACCAGTTCACCTGAGGAGTTATACACTCTTGCTGCAGAAAGGATGAATGACCTACATTAGCGTTCTGTTTTACATCGGAGATGTCTCAGTCTGTCTCTGAAGGAGCTGTCCATGGTCTCCACAGTAGAACACAGTGGGTGGGAGTTTTTTTTTTTAACATGGAGTTCATCTTCTCCAGCATCCTCCTTTCACACGTCTCCTCAAGTGAATCTACTTTGCAGCCCAGAACCGAGCTAGCTTTGTTAACTAGCTTGTTCAGTCTCTTTCTGCCTCGGTCAGAGCTGCCTGCACCCCAGCAGACCACAGCAGAATGGATAAATGAGCCTACAACAGAGTAATACAATGGTGAACAAATGTGAAAAATTTTCAACAACACATTTTTTCTATTCTGTATATTATTAAGAACACAAAAACAATGATTGACAAAAGGATTTTAACAGATAGGCATTAACTCCGAAGGACCTCAGCCTCCTCAGGAGGTGGAGGTGGCTTCGGCCCTTCTTAAACAGAGC